ATCGTCATGCTATGAACAGAGTCAGAGGAGAAGGCGGACGGTTTCATTCTGGATCTTCCAAAGAAGAAATGTTAATGCACCATCATCACCACTCTAAACTCTCCCAAGATTCTCAAACTAACACAGATTCTGATGGACTTGGTGGAGGGAATGGCATGTCAGATTTATCAGGATTAGATGTGAGTATAACTTAGTAATTTAATTGCATGTGCTTATATATAGCTTAATTCAAGTGTCTGTAAATCCCAAGCGTGCAGTAGCCAGAGAGAACCTTTGAAAACTGAAGGTGGCAGAAAACTTCCTTTGTAAAATTCAATAAAAAAAGTTATTATGCTGCTTTTCATTCTAGAGGAATCATAAGATGCTGGCTCCTAGACTGTTTATTTTTCTGTAAGCTTGTTAAAATGTTACTCATTATCATTTTAAAATTGATATTCAACCTTCTTTCAAACCCAATTTGTATAAAAATCGTTGATACTTTTTGAAAAATTTATACTTATTTTAAAACCTCTTTTTTTTTATTCGTTTTTATTAAATCAGTGCATAATTTAGTTTATGTAAAGTACAGTACTCTTTATGAAAAATATAACTGGAACAACTTTTGATGTATTAATCAGATTTTCTGAATTAACATTAAATATTAAGGTTTTAAAGGTAAGTTTTAAATATATGTTAATTCCATCGAGCAAATGATTGAGGTACAAAATCAGATATTGAGATATATTTTTAAAAAATGGTCATCTATTTCTGAAACTGATCCGTTACTTTCAGGCATCTATTACAAATCTATATTTCATAAACTTTAGAAAATTGTATTTATTTCTTTTTATCCTAAACCATTCAACATTTGTAAAAAAGTGAAATTATGATTTTTTAAAAAAAATATCTTAATTTTAATTCTATCTGTAATTTATAATGAATGATTAACATTAGAAAAAAAAGTAGTTTCTTAAATGAAGGTACGGATAAGGGATTTATGCATATAAAGAGAAATACACAATTCAAGGTATTGGTGCTTACCCTTCCAATGTTAAACTAAAATTATAAATTTTGAGTGTTCTCATTCCTTGGGGGGGGGGACTAGTCTTATAAATATTTCATCTAAAGAATTTGTTCAGTATAAATTAATGTTTTGATTTTGAAATCATAAAATTTATTGCAATTCCCTGGGTAGCAGATAAAATTTTCTGTTAGTGAAAATGTATTCTGTCCATTTTTTCTCTGGTTATGCTTAGAATAATAGAAAATATGCAATTCTGGTTTCATTCCCACTTAGAGTATACGGAACTTTTTAAGCAAAAAGACACAAACTGTCATTGTTCCATGATTGGGACGTATCCATATCGCAATTTGTTTTTCAGAACTTCCACCAGAAAGGAGAATCGGAAGATCTGACAATTCTACCAACATAAAGACTGACATCCTTTACCATCTGAAAATAAAAACTTATTTGAAATGTAAGATTATGCTAATTTTTAAATGTTGTATGTTTGTCTGCCCCCATCTATAAAACCCTACTTTGATTCCTAAATACAGTACAACCTCAACTATCTAAACCTCTTTTAACACGAGTTAATTTTTTCATTCATTTCCAAAGTTTTAGTTTTTCCTGCATCTTATGTTTATATAGTTTGTATTAAAAATGACCTACCAAATGTGTGGTTTTAAATATTTTTTCAGATTTTTTTTTCAACAGCTTTGATTAATTATAAAAGTAAATTACAATCCATTCAACAACTGAAGATTTTAAATTAAAGATAAATTTTAATTTAACCCAAAATTTGGATATGAAGCTAAGCACCAATGAAATAGAAAAAACAATTTGTGTGGAACAAAAAAACTTTTTCTTCAAATTACTGTATGAGGCGTGCTTTTATAGAGCATGGTAAAATATATCTTTATAAATATTTTAAAAGTGGGTAATGTTGCTTGCCTCTATGACTTTGGTTCACAGGTGCCCACTGGGTAACGTGAAATGAGTAACAGTTCTTGCATCTTCTAAGGCGAAGAATAATGATCAGTGCCTGCCATTTGGGGAAATATATATATATATTTTAAAATAAAGACTTAAATAATTGTTACGGTGTTAACTTTAATAAATAAGTAAATTCATTAAGCTATTATTTCAAGTTTCAATTATTAAGTGCTAAGCTACAGAAAAATGAAAAAATAATTTGTTGGAGACAGATCTTCCATTCTAAATTACTGTAAACGGCATATTGTATGGAGTATTTTAAAATTTACTTTATAAATATTTTAAAGTGTAGAGATTAATTGTGTGGTTATAATTGCTTTAACTTTGTATAAAGACAATTGTAAGGATAAAGCTTCTTTTTTTCTCCATGGTTTATCAAATAACAATTGATGGTTATAAAGATGAAAATAGCTTAGGTTCAGTCCCAACTACTTTAGATAATGGAGGTTCGAATGTAAGTAAAATTAATGGCTGCTTTACGTTGTGTTTTATCAGCAAAAGAACAGTGTTACATTTCTTTAGACTTTTTGAATTTATGCAAGAAATTTAAACTGCACTACATACTAAATCACTTTGCTTGAATAGAATCTGTCCATAAACATATTACGCTGTTTAAAATCATTTGATTTCCAGAAATGCTGTTTCTGTAATATTGCAGAATATCTATTTTCATATGTAAAAAAATTTGTTAATTAAATCAGTTTTTAGAATTCAGTAAACAATCATCAAGAAAGTGGTTTTACAAATTTATTTCAATGAATTAGCTTTTAAGTTGCTAAGATGTGATTGGTCTCCTAAAGAAATGCATTATGATGGTAGCTCCAAACTGGGTGTTTTTGCATAAATGAACTCTGCACTTCCATCAAACTGTTTCTTCTTCATCTCTCTCAAATGAAACATTTTTACCATATCTGCTTCATTCGGTTAAAGAAAAATAATGTGTTTTCTCTTAGTGCCACAGTCTTACTTCCAAGAAGATAACATTTTGTTCTAAATATGGGAAAATTGTAAAGTTTGTGGTCATTGATAAATTCTATAATGGCACAGTTAGTCATTCTACCATCTGTTGAGACCAGCCTGTTCCAAGTCGGAAAATATAAAACGAATTCTATTTACAATCTAGCTTCAAGTGCATAAATAAGTTGTTAGTGTTGTGATAGCTGGAAGAAGAAAAATTTCTTTTGTTATGCATGTTTAGATTTAATGATGACTGTGTAAAACTATGGTATTGTTATTTCCAAATACATGTTATCAAGTAGCTAGTTTTAAAAGGAACAATATTGATTAATTGAGAGCTACATTTGAGAAAACATTGCATCTTTAATAATTTTTACTAATTCTTTTAAGAAGTTGACTACAAAGTTTTATTTGGTTGCTTCTCTATGTGAGTCTATTTTTAAAACTTTTCATATCAATGTAACATTATTCTTATGTGTTTGGCTCTTTGAGTTTATTTTAGTCATTCTAGAAATAAGTTATCTAATTATAATCAAGTGACATATTCAGGGCAATTTGAGTGCATTATCGAACCCCTCTCAAAATAGTTTAGTGTTAAAACTGGCCCTGTACAAAAAAAAAAATTACGAAAAGTGTTCTTTCAAAAACACTAATAATTGCTCTAATTCTAAAATGTGGCCCGTGGCGACATTGTCGCAGAACGTTACCGAATTTTTGCAAAAAGAGTCTTCCTTTGGAAAGAAATTTAGATTGCTTTTCTGTAGAAATTTTCATTCTATTTTTCTTATGCAGTTATTACTATTGATTTCCTCATAGCTTTTAAAATCCGATACTTTTAATACGATATTGGTTAAAACTGTATCTAGAAATAAAAATTTTTAATGTCTTTATGAAACACAAAATATTAAAAAAAAAGACTAGAATTAACCCTGATAATATATATATATATATATTTCATTTGCGAAAAAGTTTTACTTTGCCTGTTGCTTTTATTATGTAGATACATTAGGTGCAACCCTTACCCAAATTTTACCTATAACAGAAGATTGTAGATTCATTATTTATGCTATTCTGGCATTTTAACTCTTCTGATTCTTTTATATTCCAATTCATGCTGACCTTAGCAAAAACAAAAGGTCTTGGTGATAGTAAAATTGTTAAATGTGTCAATGATCAATATCTTCCTGGAATGGAAAGTATTTCTTGCAAACAAAAATAATTTACTTAACTGGAAATTCTCTAGTTAGTATGGGACGTGTCTTAGTTTTGTTGTGTCCCTGCTGTGTCTTCAAAAAGTATTATTAGCAAACTTCTTACTATTGAAGGAGAAATTAGTGGAAATTCAAAACTTTACTATGTATTGAAAAGTACTACAGAAGAATTAGTTTTGTTTAGTTAAAAGTTCCATGAGTACTGCCATGCCTAATAAAACGTTTACTCAATAAAAAAAACTATATGTCTAGAGACTAGAACACTTAGTGAATTAAATTTTCATTTTGCAAAATTAATGATTTATTATGGCTTTTTAATGAAGCATATTCTTTTTTCATTTGCTGATTAGTGGAATTATAAAGCTGGAGAAGTTGTGAAAGTTGAAATCTGGGATGCATCTGAAAGTGGGAAAAAAATTAAGGTAAGTGCAAAAGTACGCCTTTTTGTACCTATTTTTTATTATTTTTTTTTTTCTATGACTTATCTTACTTGAATTTATCAGTTCGGTTGCAAATTAAATGTAAGAAAAAGAAACCTATGAAATATTATACATAATTTTTTGTTCAGATTTAAATCAAATATGATTTTTTTAAAATATATTTTGTCTATTATTCATCTTGATTTTTTTTGGGAGATGTTTTACTTTTAACATGAATATACTTCCTGTGGCAGAATTTTTTTGGGCTTTCTGTGACATATCTGTCTAATACTAAGATCTTTCTGCAAGATACTTTTAAAATAACAAATATACATGTTACTAATTTAAAGTAATAGAAGCATCAACTTAAAAAAAATAAACTTTCGGATCAAATAAAATAATTATTTTTAATTGAATATGTAATGTTTTTTTTTATTCTAATATTATGGGCAATATTCTTGTATTTTGTGGGGGGGACGCACTAATTATTTCCTTTTTTTTTTTTTTTCATTTTGTAAATCATCATCACATTAAAAAAAATATATATTGAATTCTGTTGCAGTAACTACCGAAAAAAGATCAGCAACGAATTCCTGCAATTCAGACTCTTTAGAAAATAGTGCGAATCCGGCGTGTTAAAAAGCGATTTCTTGAATCCGGGATTTGAACTTTCCGTGCCGTAATAATATAGGCATTTTAAAAATAAAATATAAACTCACTAGAATAATAATAGTACGACAGCGAAATCACGCGAATCGAACTCTTCAAGACGGGTTAACTGAACACGTATATTTCTAGAAGTATATTCAGTTGTAATCAATAATATTGTATTAAAAGTATCGGATTTTAAAAGCTATGAGGAAATCAATAGTCAGGGATGAGATTTTTTCGCTTTTTAGCGGATTTCCGCTTTTTTCGCGTTTGTATCTCGAGTTTCAGCCTTATAATCCAAAAACTCCGATTCTCTAAAATTTTCGAGTTTTCTTATAAATATTCCGCTTTCTCTGAAAATTCAGTCGTTAAAATAAAATAATTATTTGTTTCTGATTTTCAAAGATAAACAGAAAATTCAAACTACGTAGCTGCCAACCCTTCCGCATTTTTACTTATTTTAGCGGTTTTCTCCGCTTTTACGCGCGGACAACAAGATTTTCTGCATTTTTACCCGTTCGCTTGATAGCTCGTATTTTCGTAATCCAGACGTCGCTGCATTTTAATATCAAACATCGATTTTCATATTAACCTGATTTAAAAGTTGCGCGTTGCGATTCTTATTCATGCGATTTCAATATCGTACATTGCAATTCTCATTTACGAGATTAAAAAATCCATTATCGCGATTTGTATTTACGCTTTTTTAAAATCTATGTAGCTATTCGTATTCACTCGAGTTTAAAATCCAATGTCGTGATTCGTTTTTGCGGTTGTAACATCAAACATCGATTTTCGTATTT